ATTGAGACAATACCATGAAAAAGGCAATATAAAGTTATCAATGTTGTAGTGAGTTTATAGTATGTCTTAAAGAACAAGAGATCCTGCTAGATATGGGGATACAAAAAAAGTTGAATACAAACTCATTCATTGAATACAATACTGGAATGGCAAAACTAATGTGTGGTCAGGTAATGTGGGTGCATCGTAAACAGAACTGTGTGGGAAAATAGATTTGCTTTATATGATTTTCAAGAGTAGGAAATTGTTGTCATTTGCATTTGGAATGAAATCCCCATATTTTGCAAGTCCATGTTATGATAAATACTGGAAAGTACATTGGTTTGAACCAATCAAGTTTTGATTGTATGCCTATTGTTAGATATGTATGTATTTATATAGTATATTTGTATAGTTTTCAGATTATTTGAAATATTGAAATGAATTATGGAAATGCCACTTAAACTACATCTCTCTCTCTCAGACATATGTTAATAATCTCTGGCCTGAATACTGATTCTTTTGGAGTTCTTCAGTGTTGATTGTTGAAACTTCATTTATTAAAAAGAATTGGCTCCTGTTTTCCTGGTCTTATCTAATCGTGGTAGTTAAGGACCACAAAAGCATTTCTTAACTTTTAAATCCTTAAGATTCTTATCAATAGTTTTTAACATCAAATATCAGTTAAGTAGTTGACGCTTTTCTGTATCTTACAAGGACTTTAGACAAATGGGTAATTTTATAGAGTCACAGTAAAAACGATTTAGAACTTAATTACATATACAAAATATCAGGAGGTTTCACCACCTGGAGTGAAGTGAGTCCATTAATTTCAGGACTATAATGTTACAGAGTTTTTCTGTTGTTAATTAGTGATTCTGTCTGTTGCTTCAGTTGCCACAAACTCAGAATACATCTTAAGGAATAAAAGGTAACAGTGCTGATCTTAATAGGTAGCATTTGTTTGTTTTGCAGAAATAAAGATTAGCTACACTGTCCAAATACTCAGTGTTTCCTGTCTCCCAGTAATAAGCTGTGGCTGGCTTCTGTTTTCAGTTCTGTGATGATACTGCTTCTTTTTAGAATTGGGACGCCATCTATTTAGCCTTAGGGCAGTAATTTCCTAACATGCTGAGCTCTGGCATAAATAATCTCCCAATGAAGTAATTGAAAAGGCATTCATTCATTGCCAGTCCTTTTGAAAATTCAACCTTTTTAGACTATACAAATTTTTAGAAATAAAAGCAAAAGGATGGCATGACTGGAGGTAATGACTGTTAGGAAACTATTTTTACTTACTATTTTACTACTGCAATCATAACTGCAGGAACGACTTACAAGTAATTGCACATACTGGTAAAGGAGTGAAGTCTTTAGGAAAATGTGAGGAAAAGAACTTTAATGACTTAGAAATGGATCCAAGTCAGAATTGCAAATCCCCATTTTGGGGCATTTTCATTGCTGAAAGTAGCTACCAACACCCCAATTTAACAACCAGAGAATTCTTTAGAAAATAATTGAGGCTGAAAGAAAAACAGAGTTCAGTGTAGAGATCAAACAGCATCTGAAGCATGTTTAGCATATTGTTGCCTATTACTTTTCTAGATATAAGTAAGTAGTAAAATAAAATATGAACATTTGGCAGTATCCCCCTTACAAACCTATATACTAATACTGATTTTTGGGGATACAAAACTGTCTCTTTGCATGAGGTTTAAAAAGGAGGAGTCTGTCCTGGAGTTTATTCAGCATGAGGTTCTCTTGATTCCACTGTGAGTTTCTCTTGTGCTGAAATTACAGTTAATCTGTCTTGGAAGGCAAATGCACAGATACTGGTACTTTAAGAAGTTGTTGAAAAAAAGAAATGTGAAAAATTAATGGAAAGGGCCACAGTCCTTTAGCCTAAGAAAATAAAATGGCAACTTGTACATGCTCATATGTTCAAAGTTGTGTTTACTGAAGAGTGACAGTTCATATTACAGGGAGCTGCTGGTCTCCTTCCAAACATAGCTAGAGGGTTTTAAGAAGAGGCCCAACTAGCAAGAGCAGATTTTTTTTTTAAATTATTATTATTTTTTTAATTTTTTTTTATTTTCCAGATTGAAAGAAATGAGTAGGATTTATAATTGCAATTGGCTGGAAGTGCCATGGGGAGATGGAGATTTAGGTATTGTATGATAATTTGTAATTTTTTTTTAACTTCACCTGTTAATGCAGTGAATATATTTATTCCTTCTTGTTAATGCTTGTACAGCAGTTTGCCCTCCTGCTAACTTGGATCAAATGTGGCTTCTATACATAGTTAGAGATACTTTGTATTTAGCGTCTGTCAGAGACAACATCACTATGGAGTTAATGCATTATCGGTTTTGGTGTAGCCTATGTTTGCTAATACTGCTGTTACAGACACCAATGGACAAAAAAGTGTCCTTGTTTATTTCTTTCTAATGCTTTCTACGTGAGAGACACAGTTAGTTTGTAGATTAGCAGAAGGCAGCAATCTAGGCAAAGAATTTGATGCTTATTTATGATATGTATTTATTTTAAACATATTCTTGTCCCTGTGGTATTTAATGATGAATTACTATGTATATCAATAAATCACTTGGAATGTGGTATTTGTTTTCCAAACTTGATTGGCACAAAATATTTCTGCAACATTTTGCTTATAGATTTTATTTCTGGTAGGGATTATACAAGCATTTTATCTCTAATGGGTAGATCAGAAACAGCTAGCTGCTGGATGTCCCTACATGAAGACAAGGGTATAAGGTGAGTCTAGGTGCAAACCAGAGCTTACAAAGGGGACTGGCATCGTTTGATTCACAAATGTCACTGGAGTAATTAACAGACATTCTTCTGATCAAGAGGGAAGGAGGTGAAGGAAAGAAAGGTAAAAAACTATTACTTTCAGATCCTACCTGTGTCTTCGTTCTGTTTAACCATGGCTACAAATACATCCAAAATGTGAGTGTATTTAGTGGGCATAAAAACTTCATGACAAAATTTTATTAAGATTATTCTATGTAATTAATTGTTCTTTTCTTTTTCCTATTGAATAGGATAAACTGTTGAGACATGTTCTCATCTGTAGAGACAGGGGGACAGAATACCAAAAGCAACCTCTAAATACAGATTTTAATCTTTTTTTGAGGAATTCTTTGCAGCTGCCAGCAAGACAACTTAATAGATTTAATTCATTTGGACAACTTGAGTGCTTGTTCAGATACTAATGCAGAAGAAGGAAAATATTGGTCAAAATACTCAGAATGATTACACTCATCCAACCTACAGTAAGAATAAATCTATTGGAGCTTATTGGGATGACAGAAAATACTGATGTTTTGCCAAAATTGGATCACTGTAAGATTTCTGAACTCAACTTTTTGTGTTATAATAACCCTTAAAATCCCAGTCACTGTGTGGTGGGGGTTTTTGCTGTTATTCTGACTAGCAGTCAGAATTTCAAAACACTCATTAGTATCCAATAGTGTTGAGCTACAAAGTGCATTTATATGTTTTCTAAGATGCAGTGTTACATCTGTGTAAGTTTTAGTTTCATTCAGTAACACCTCTGGGAAAATGAAGACTTTATCTCAATTTTTCCTATTGTACACTATTTCACATGGTTTTAACTGTGTCCTGATTTATTTTCAGGCTGAGCAGCCTTAATCTTCTCAGTCATTCTTCATGTGATTTGTGGGGATCGTTTTTAGTAACCAGAAGTGTACTTTCTGCAACAGCCTAGTGGACAGGAGGAGTTCAGTAGGAAGCAGACACAGGGTCTATTTCTGGTGTGTAGTTATCTTAGAGCTTAGACTGATGATTGCCAGTGATTGAGCAATATAGCCTTCTCCTTTAAGATTCACTGGCTTGTAACTGAAATGCAGTACCTAGCTCTGTAGGCAGTCCTCGTCTACAGCAAGGGACTAAGTCAAACTCCTTTACACATTGAAAATTCATCTGCTGATGTTACCAATTTATCATATTTAGCTAATTCTGTCTGTGTTTCTTCTCGGCTTTTTGTGGGCTTGATATAACTGACACTAGTGATTGTATTAGCATTTTACTGTTCTAGTGATTTTCTTTTTACAGGAATAAATATCAGTAATTCATAACACATTTTGAAGACAGTTTGTCCTTGTACAGTCTAATAAAAACTGATCTGCAAAATTCATGCTATAAATTGATATCATCTATGCCTTCAACCCTGACTGGCTAGAAGGGGCCTGTCAGTGTCCAGTCATCTGCAGGTCCTTTCTCAGGAGCTGCAGGATGACTCTGGGACCTGGGTTGGGAGTTATGGGGGTTATGTGTGAAGGCAGGGTTGTTTGGTTTCTATTTCTTTTCTCTTTTCTTTTTTTTTGGATGATAAATAAATGAAAACAAATGTTAAGCCTTTACAATAAGCATATCTAATTATTTTTAGGCCTAATTGCCTATGGAAGGAGAACTTTAGACTTAATATCATATTTCTATTATAGTAATGTTTTTAGTATGATTCTCACTGTATTTCTCTCCTTGCACTTATGTAGCAGCTTCCAGTTAATCTTATTATGCATAAAGATTTCCACATGGATTTTCATATACATCAGCTTTTTTGTGACTTCTTCAGGCAGGTTTATGCCTGGTTTGAGTTCAAATATCAATTTGTTGAAGTCTAAAAATGTCTATATGCCAGCTGCAAAAAAGTAAATTATATTACTTGTATTAAAAATGAACGATGCAAAAATAGAAGTGGAAAGTATGGTAATTGATGAATTTATTAAATTAGATTAATAAAATAAATATATCAATATTTTGTTCTCTGTACCGTGTAATCATTTATTACAGATGTTTCCAGATAATAATAGAGCAGTTTTTATTGTTTAGAAATGATAATTTGAAATACAGTCTGTAAAGTGTAAAAATTAATAGGACAGTTGATTTCATTCTGTGCATTATATTTTCTGCTTTGCTCTATGCATTCCAAACCCCTTCTAATTCATATGGTTTGTTCAATAAATGTTGTTATTATATAGGTTCTTGGGCAGATCGCTCACCTCTGCATGAGGCAGCCAGTCAAGGACGTCTTCTTTCTCTAAAGACTTTATTGTCCCAGGTGAAGGCTGTGTTCTTACAATTGCTTTCATTTTTAACGATACTTAAGTTCTCAGCATAGATTATTAATGCAGATTTAGTATGCTTTGTTTTGCTTTTTTTCACTTGAAGTTTTCTGAGCAATGCACATTTGTATGATAAGTTAGTATTTAAAATATTTCTTCTCTATGTTTTAAAATCTGCCCCCCCCCAAAACAAAACAAAAAAAACAAAACCCAAAACCACCACAAAAAAAAGATTACCAAAGTTCTGTCAAAATGAGTGTCAGTGTTCTCCTCTTGCATGGTAAAAATCAATGTAGTTCCTCTGTTTAAGCCCTTGGGTAAAAAAAGCTAGTCAGGAAGAATCACTGAAAGATTCTGGGTTTTGCGTAGCTGTCATTTGAAAAAATTAATGCTTTGTTAATAGCAAAGGGAGAGACTGTAAACTGCTACATTTTAGTATTACAGTATTGTCCTATTATCTATTTCAGTATTGAAAAATTATACTCCAGAATACATTTGATGAAAGCTAATAGATAAAATTATTAGTTCTTAAGAATCAAGCAGCATCTACTGCAGAAAATTTCAAGGGCTTGATGATTTTATCAATGCAATAAATGTTCTCCTTGGTAAAATTCATGGCTTTAAAATTTCAGGCCTTAAGTCAAAAGGGTCATAGAATCACAGGAGAATTTAGACTCAGGTCCTTTTTACATTTTAAAGATCACCAAGAGTGGAGATACACCAACCTCTGAACCTCTGTTCCAGGGTTTCACTGTCCCTACAGTTAATTTCTTTTCTATATAATTAATTGGAATCCACCACGTTCTGACTTGTATCTGTTGCCTTTTGCCCTATCACTGTGCATCTCAGTCTGTTTCTGTCTTTATACCCTCTATATCCTATGCCTATTTCTGAATTTAAAAAAAGAAGAGCTGACCAACTTACTTTTAGTCTGTTATATACACTGATTGATGAAAGAGTCTTTCTATGCTCAGTGAGGATTTACTTATTGCTAAGTCTTAAACCTACTTGGAGTATTGTAAACTAATCACTTGAACAGTAGTGTTAGCAAACTGCTCGTAACAACTTTTGTATGATCTTAAAACATCATTTATGCCTTTTTTAGGGGTACAATGTAGACACACTGACAATTGACCAAGTAACTCCACTCCATGAAGCCTGCCTGGGAGATCATGTAGGATGTGCAAGAATCCTCCTTGAAGCAGGAGCAAATGTAAGAGTCTGAGATTTATTTTTTTTTTACTTTGAAGTCCAATTCTAACCTTGTTTTAACTGAGAAGGATATATTCCCTGATTTTTATTTTTAATTGGTATTTCTCTCTACTCACGCTGTTGATGGCATTCATCTCATTTATTTACAATGATCTAACATCTGAATGCTAGCAAAGAAAAGTGATGGGCAGACACCGAGGCAGAGTAAAGTATTGGAAAGAATCTGTTAGCAGCATTCATTATGTTATTTCTGTATGGAATGCATTCCTCCACTGGGTTCGTCTTGCTTTGAGTGGCTTTCAGGAGACTGTTCTTTTAATCTTCAGAATGTCTGTCGTCACACTGCACCTGTGTGCTGTTAAAATTCTTTGGTCTGAGTACAAAAAAGCCTTGTCTCTTTTCTGTACCCCTGACACAGGCTGTCTTGTCTTTTATGCCAAAACAAAAATGGGATTTTGTAGATCCCTTTCACTACAATGTCTGCTGACATCCTAGTTCAAATGCATAGCTTCCCAAATCTCTGTGATGGAAATATTTATCAGCCTTTGAATTCAGGTTTGAGAATCACGTAGAATATGTATCTGTTATTACAGGAAAAGAAAAAAATACATAGATGTTTCCAAAACCAAATCCTGTCCACTTCAGCTAGCACAAAGATTCTAAAGATACAAGACTATGGATACTATATACAAAACTATTGGAAAAAAATTTCATGTTCCCACCTGATTTATTTTTAGTACTTTTAATTGTTTTGGTGGTGCATGAAAGAGGATAGGGCAGAGTCCTGGAAGGAGCTCTCTCCTAATACCTGTGCTGCTTCCTTTAGTATTACTAGCCCTCACAAATTTGCCTACTTTCAGTTCTTATTCTCTCACACCAGAAATATTCAGTTAACCAGTGAGGTGATGAGATTGGTATTAAAACAGAGAGCCTACGCTATTAGCTTTGTCTTCGACCCCTGATATATTACTTCAACCTGAAGACTAAAACTACAAAAGAAAATGGTAAATAATTCTCATGTTTAATCTGAAATTTGCATTCTTGCCAGAGCTGCAGAGAGAAGATCCCTGTTACCCTGTTACTACACAAAGTGTAGATTTTCTCTATCAGTGAAACAAGCTCAGTGCAAAGACTTCTGAAAATTATTTAGTGCCCAGATGTCAATGTGTGCTCTTTAGTACTGCAGGTGTATTTTGATTTATTCAATGTAGTTTAACAAGAACAATAGTAAACTAATTTCAGCAGATGGGTGTGGTAAGAGGAGGACAGTAACTAGCAATTTTTTTTTGTGTTTAAATTTCTAACTATTTTTGGCTTAAAAATCTCTTTCAGTTCTGTTCTAAAATAGATTTTATATGTTCTAGGTAAATGCTACAACAATTGATGGAGTAACACCTTTATTTAATGCCTGTTCGAGGGGCAGTGCGGCATGTGCTGAACTCCTGTTGCAGTATGGTGCCAAAGCTCAGTGGGAGTCCTGTCTGCCATCACCAACTCATGAAGCAGCCAGCAGAGGTAAGAAATTACCTGCTGAATAAACCTAGAGCAGTTCACCAATGCTTCAGTAACAGGGTTAGGAATGTGTCTGGTTTTGTCTATGAGACAGCTGTGAAGTTGAGCAAACTCTGTCTTGCTTTGTACTGACAGGTCACAGTGAATGTCTGGAGGTACTGATATCCTGGGGTGTAGATGTTGATCAAGATCTTCCTCATTTAGGAACACCTCTGTATTTAGCTTGTGTTTCACAGCAGATCCATTGTATTCGAAAGCTTCTTTATGCAGGTATGTCTTGGTTTAAATAAAAGTATTACTAGTCTGTAAAATAAGCTTATTGTATTTGCCTTTGAAGTCATCTGTGCTCAGTCAGTGAAACTCAAACCTTGCAAGGCTCTGCTTCAAAGTTTATGCTGTGATGCATGTTTTCTTATAACTACTTAATTTATCTCATTTTTTTGGTGACACAGCAAGCATACGAGCAAAAAAGGAAGACCAGTAAGAATGGATGTTCAGAATTTTTCACACCTACTGCAGTTTTGTAGGTGTTCATTTTCTGTAGGAAAAACAGAGATAAAAAATCAGCTTTGAGAAAAGAATTTTATATAGTAGTCATTGAAATGTCAACATTTTAGCAATATAGTCCCCCTCTTTCATTCTTCAGCATGTTCTGACTGATTTTTTTCATGAGGCATAGAGGCTGAATTGCAGAGAGAAGACATGAGGTAAAAGGTATTTGATCCTAAATTTCATGTTATTTATTTAATCAGTGGGAAAGATATGTTGGAGGCTCACTCTGTTTCAGCACAAGTCCAGGGACACAATTGGCATAGCTAAAGGATCATTTGCTGTGTTTCAGGTAGTGACATACAGAGCTTTTGTGTCCTGCAGCACAATGAATGAAAATGTATATGAATAATTCAGCCTTGCTATCATTGCCCTGGAATTGTTTTTCTAGTCAAATGCATGTTATTCAGAACTTAAGCAGTTAAATTGTTTCTCATTGAGTCTCCTTGGATAAGTAATTATCCTGTGTCATGATTTTTTATGTTTAAGAAGAGCAAATGTATATTTAGCATACTTTGGGATTCAAATACTACCATACATAAAAAACAGTAACAGAATATTCTACATTTGTTGGTGCCCTGAAAAGGGTATGTAAATTGAGAATATAAGTAATGACTTATGTAAGTAAATTTTTTCATATTTGTCAGTTTATGAGACTCTATTAGAAGTTGAAAAGCAGATAGACAATGAAATAAGCAGGAGAATGGTACTGCGGAAGTATTCTCAAACTGTCAATATTAAGAAGAGTGAGTTATTCAGATTTCAGATCTAATTGCTAGGCCTGTGACATCATTAAATTATTTTACTCAAATTGGAATTTAAAAGACAAAGTATTGATTCAGGGAGTGAAGTTGGTAGACAAACTGATTTTTGGTCTCACAAGATCAGTAAATCTCAAGCAGTCTGAGTTTTTCTTCTGCTAGAATAGTCTAGAAAACTGTTGGGACAAACTCAGCTTTATGGGGACTAACAGCTTACTGGGAAGGGAAATTCTTCCATACTAGCTAGTTTGGTTTAACTCTTATATTGATATTTTTTCTTGAATACGAATGCATCATTGCAAATTAATTTGGTCAATTTTAATTTAAAATAAGTTAACAATTCCTTGTCAATAGAAAAGTGTAATATTTAGAATTCCATGGATTGGGAGAATTAATGGTTTAGAATTTTTTTCCTGATTAGCTTTCTTTGGCTGTGTGTCCCACCCTAAGTAAAATTAAGTCCTTTATAGATAAATCCTTGATAAAAGCTGGATGGCATGGGAGTCTGTTTCAAACCTTTTGCCAGTTTCAACTCATGAATAACTATAAAGCATCCAAGTTGGATTTCTTCTTGAGTTGATGTACATAAAAAATATACATATACATGATTTTAAAAAAAGACTTAAATAAGGAAAGTATATTTTTTACGTAGAGCAAATTTTCTTAAATGTGTACAAAAAGTATTTTTTTATAGTTAGGGCAACAATGATGCTCACATGATGTAATTTGATTTTTCTTTTCTGTCTTATAATAAAGTATTTTCCTTAAAAATCTTGTTGTACTTAGGTAATAAAACCAAAGGTAAGTGTATGGCTTCAGCAAAAAACCCACTGGTATGATTAGCTATAGTTCTATGCAATAAAATTAATAAAGTGACTACATGCACTCTGGCATTCCAGGACAGTGGGGTTTTTTCTTTGTTTTGTAGCCTCATCTTTACTCAATGGCAATTTTAATGAATCTCTTCTTATGTCTCTTTCTGTGCATCTTCCCACCAGGTGCCAATGTGCAGAAAGGAAAGCATCTGCAAACTCCACTCCATGCGGCTGCCCAGCATTCTAGTACAGAGATCGTAAACTTACTCCTTGAATTTGGGGCAGACATAAATGCCAAAAATTCAGATTTTGAGAGGCCTGTTGATTTAGCTGCTTCAAGCAGTTTAGTGGAGAGACTGCTGCTCTTTCATGAAGGTAAGTTTTACACCTGTGTTTTTGCAACTAGAACTTGTATTATTAAAAAAAACCCCAACCCAACAGCCCGGACAGCACATTATAGAAGCTAACATTGTGCTTTATGAAATTAATATATTAGCATTCAGGTAAATTCCTTTCTAACTATAAAAATGCTCAGCAATATTTAGTCTCAGGCCAGAGCTTGTTGACCAAGCAGCATTAGAATTTATACAGGCTGAAAAAGTATCATCTTACGTTTATTGAGTGTTTACACAAGTTAACATTAAAGCTGCATTTTTTATTGGCTGTTACAGACCTTGTTAAAAAGAAAGAGAGTATTTACATTTTGGGTTAAAAATATATTTGGTTTTGGACAGCTGTCACAATATTTTTAAAAATATATTTTTAAGTGCATATAAAGCACTTTGATTGTGGGCAAAAAGTATATTAAGTTTAATTTTCTAAATTTTCTTTACGAAATTATAAGAATCTAAGAAATAGGAGTCAACACTTAAGAGTCCCTTAAAACTTGTAAAGGTCCATTGCCTTGGAGAGAGAGAATATGCCAAAGGGAACTGGATTTGTTCAGACTGACCTATGTGTAATGTAAAAATAAGCCCCAAGAGAAAGAAACTGTTTAAATAACCATGGGCATCTCTTTAGAGGTGAGCTGACAAGTAACACTGATTGATGTTTTCCTCCAGAAAACATGTCTGTAGTCTGAATGCTGTCAAAAACCCCCTCTAAAAACAGTATGTTTTCACAAATTTACCAAGACTAGTAGGATTTTAAACAACCAGAGCAAAGATGTCAAAAAAATTACTCAGCATGAAATGCATATGATTTTATTGCCCAGAGAAAGACCACAATGTTCATTTTGAGGGACTGGGGGGCAGAGGGATAAAGGTATTAAGATGAACTAGTAAGACCACTAAACATGGTCCAGGCACTTGGGGTGTTTTGCCTGATTTTCTTGTTGCAGTGATGCATTGGTAGTGCAGCTAGTAGTGCCATAGCAGGTATGTCATCTGTTCTGTGTATAAAAAAACCAAAACACCCCTGCAGTTTTTAAAGTTATTGACATCAGTCAGATTTTTCTGGGAGCAGGCTTTTCTTTTATAAAAGACTGATCTGAGCTTGCTTTTTTTGGCATTCTCTAACTTCTGCTTTCAGCAGCCCCAGTCTTTATCTTTGAGGGCAGAAAGGCAATGAAGAAAGTCAAATTTGCAAATTAATTTATTTTTTTTTACAAATGCCATTACAGTATGAGACTGTTGTAAAACAAAGTACTGCCTTTTCTAGCTGTGCAATTAAACTCCTTTCTTTGCTGTTTGCAGCCACACCATCTTCTCTTTGTCAACTCTGTCGACTGTGTATCCGAAATTACCTAGGAAGAGCTAGACTGCATCTTGTTCCACAACTCCAGTTGCCAACAATGCTGAAGAATTTCTTACAATACAGATAACATAGTAATTAAATGTTAGAAACTTAAATAGCAAGTACTTTTTTCTTCTCTTTGTTTATTGTATGTTTTATCTAAAGAACTGCTGGGCGGAAAAATAAGCCTTTTGCATATTACTTAAAAAAAAGTATATCTTTGTCACCTGATGTTGGTAATGTAATAGTAATTGGGAGCCATTCAGCAACTAGTACCAAGGTGCTAATAAGGCTGAATTGCATAAGTGTGCTGATACTCTGGGAAATGATTGTATAGCTTTACCTTAATGCTTACTGAATAGCTTTAGTACTGTTAAATTTAATTGTATTTATACTTTTAAAACCTGAACCACAGAGTTTCTTCATTATTACTTATTAAGTTTGTCCACTTGGAGTCAGTATTTTGTGTTTTTAAATTTCTATCATTTGTGTACCTAAAAATACTTGGTGATAGGTGCACTATATACATTGATAAAAATAAAACAATTAGATGTCCATTTTTCTTCTTTTTCTTTTTCTTGAGAGAGACAGTTCGTTAATGGCAGTGAGAAACTTCCTTCACTCTTCCTAATTGCCTGTGCTGTGAATTGGAATTAAGATGCTGTGAATATAATCTCAGTTGTTTCAGCCATGTGCAGTTTATCAAATCTCTGTTTATTAGTACAGTTAGTAACTTTAAACATTGCAGAGGAATATTTCTCAAAAGCCTTAATGCTGAGCTACTTATGATCTCCTCTAGTAAAACAGAATTATATGGGCTCTGTACTTATCTTTTACTAACAATGGTCTCACAACTCATGGGCATATTAAATAACCATTTGCCTCAGAGAAAGGCGTATTACACCATAAAATATCTGTGAGGTTTCTGAAGGTCTTTTGTGGAGATGGGTATATGGAATCCTCAACCTCAAGTTTAGGAGGTGGATGCAAGGTTCCAGAAATACAGCAGTGCTCTGTATCAGGATGGGTATCACACTTGAAAGGACATTGTTTCCCTTGATGTTTAGTTTATAAACAATTACCCAAATACAAAAATCACGTTGCAAAATCCCAGAATGCTCTAGCAGGCATTTCTGGCATCAGCTTGAAATTTTATTGTTCAACTCTAGCCCGAGAAGGAATGCTGACACACCCAAGAGGCATTAGAAAACCCCAAGGATTTCTGCCTTGCTTATGCCCTTGCATGTTGATGACTGCCAGTCTTGTCAAAAAATGTGTTTAACTGAAATACAGCACTCCTCTCAGTCTTCTCATTTGGTGTTCCTTTGAGAACAGATTATTTCCTCAGTGACTGATAATTTCTTCAAACCAAAGCATGAGACACCTGAAAATTTGCCACTTACCCTTGGTGATTCACTCTCTTCCATTCTTTTTCAGTGACTCCTTTCAGTATTTATGTTCCTCTCGGAAAGATGCTAAGTGAGGAACTAAATATAGAGGAAACTTTCACAAAGAAAAATGCTTACTCAGTTGCTAAATTATATCCACCTAATAAGAAATGCAGATGTCTGACACTTGTCTTTGTAAAATAATCTTAATTTGCTTCTGTTCCCTGCAAAAATTCTAATGAGGGGGTCTCTTCTGGAATCTCTGTAAAGGAAAGCCAGATGCAAGTAAGAGGAGCTGCTTAGGAGCCCAGAATTAACACTGACTCTGTAATGGAATGCGTTGGGTGGGTTTTGGTTTTCATCCAGAAATTACCAATACGTGTTCTTATGTCCAATACCATCACTGTGAGTTACCTCAACAAACAAACCAACTTTGAACTGCCGAGCCAACCATGGCACTGTTGAACTTCTCTAGGTAGAATGAGATCATTTCGATCCTAACATTCAGGTGTGCACAGCACTTTTCAAGTCTGACTCGGACATGTCATGTTCTGTACAGTAAGCTCAGTTTTGAGCAAGCACAGCTATTCTGCAAAACACCTGTTTGAAACACAACCAGATGATGTTGGATGTTTTGCTGGGAGTCACATCAGAGCCCAAGCCATATCATTGCAAATAGGTGTGTTAATGCTCATGTGACATTTGCAATGTCTATTCCGATCATTCCGACTGATTCTTGCCACCATCCAAAGAACAAACAAGACCATCTTTGGAGTTTACAGGTATTTGGTACTGCTTTTTCTGTAATCCTACATAATGGTACACTAGGTGGAAGAAACAAGCTTATGGTTATATTATGACTTTTATCTTGGACGATATGCAGTCATTCTGGATTTATTTTACCCAATGAAGAAGTGCAACAACATGGATTTAAAGTGTCCCATCTCAGACTGCAGCTTGCAGTGGAGCTGTCTGTGAACCTGTTACAATCCAATTAGTAGGAGATGCCTCTGCCCAAATTAAGGTGCAAATAAGACCATATGCCAAAGTCAATAATACTGATTTTATTCAACAACAAATGTGAGGTAGAGAAAGAAATAGAAAAGAGAGAGAAAGAAAAATTGATCAATCAGAAGATAGGTCACCATCCATGGATCCAGTGGCATCTCATTGGTCCTTCTTCACGCTGGGCTTCTCAGTGGTGGTAGTGGTTTCTTCACCCTGGGCTTCTCAGTGGTGGTAGTGGCCCTGTGGTCATTCTTCTTGTGGTGGGGGTCTTCTGAGGGTGCTACCTTTATACAGTCCAAGTTCTGCATATCCACAGAGGTGTATATATGTGACGCAAGGATGGGCATGTCCTCCAAGATTTCAGGAGGCTTCCGTTGGTGGTAGTTGTCTCAGATTGACACCTGTCCCATAATATGGGATGATCTTTGACTGGTGATACAAGTCAAGTATGACCAGTTGCTTCTATTCATACAGTTTGCCACAGTGGCAATTTTTGTCCAGATGCACTAACCAGGATATGCTAACCAGGCCTTGCCCACACCAGGCCTGCAATTAGTGCCATTCTGTCACAAAGTCTTCCCTTCTGTGATTAAGTTCCCACCATGGTGGCTTATCTTATGGAAAGTTCCTTTTGCATTCTTTTGCTCTTTACAGAAGCTTATAAACAAATCAATAATGTTGGACAAATTCTTTCAACAGAAAAATGGATTTGGCTTTGCAGGGATAAAGTGATGTTAAACTTAACTGAGATTTAATAGTAATTGGAAAGCACTAGCTGTATAGTTTGATAAATTTCTTCATTCAAATAGAAATACAACTTTTACAGAAGAGACAAAGCATCATTTGAAGATAAAGGATTCTTTAATATTAAGGGAGAAATATCTGTATTTTACTTGCTGTGCCAGACAATGAAGTCACAGATTAGCAAACAATCTGGAAGTGTTTTTGAAAATGATGAATCCATAGTTTCACAGTTGCAACCACAGCTGTAGCAGTAGACACAGTCTTTTCTGCATGTTCCCCTCACTCATCACATGGGGTACAAACAACTTTAAGTAAAATGCAACCTCATATTATTCACACTGACTGTCACCTGATGGATCCCCAATATAAAAAGTGCCCTGAAATTTTTGTTTCTGCAATGAAAGAGTTCTTAACCCTCACTCTCTAATTTAAAGAGAGATTAAATTTGTCTAGGATTCCATGTCAAGGCACAATTTATGTACAACACATTGATGCAGTTATACTATGTATTGTAAGACCTTTAAACTGTAAAATATTAGTAAAAATCCTTAGGATGCAGCAAAATATTTTAAATACAGTAGAATGGCAGTTCTTCTGAGCCAATCCTTCAGATCCCAATCATCACTCATGGGGTTGCATTTTCAGTTCTTACCTTTGCTCTCCACCTTTGCATGAACAACTTTTACACTCCAGGTTGTACAATTTATGTGCTAAAAGACACCTAGTCTTTCATTTGACAGAAGCAACACATCAGATATTGACTGATGGAAAATTAATTCAAAACTATTAATTTTTACTTCTGAAACCCAACTCTTCTTCTCCAAGTTACCACGAGTTAAACAAAGGAAAAATATTTTCCAAATAATACCTACAGAAAGTAAACCATTCTGTTCCAGCATCCAAGCATGTACAAATTTTTGTATAGGTTACAAAACAGCTAAGCATTTTCTCCCCACAATCCATTCTTACACCAGAAACCCTGTAATAATACTCTAGAACATTTCCAGAATGAAGCTTTACCTTTTTAAAGAGGGGGAAAAACCAACCCAGGGTTTTTTTTTTTTAATTTCTAACCTCCACTCCACCTTTTCTGCATGGTGACATTGTCATTTCTAGTTAAATGAGGACATGGCTTACCTATATATTGAGCATTTTGTTTAATAGGGTCGCTAAACAGAGACCTTGTAGTATTTCCATTTTTGCAGCACTTTTAGTAGAAATAAATGTGCCAATTTTTAATTTCAACCTCTTTACATTTCATGTAACTATCATGATTTTTAATAAATTTTATTTTAAAGCAGCAGTAAATAAAAAGGTAACAGATAGAGCTGATTCCTGCTTATATGCCATCAATTAAGCTAAGAAAGAATATTGTAACCAAGGCATCTTTTCTACAGGTAATTCTGATTATTAGAATTATAAGAATAATAAATAACATTTGCCTTTTAATTAAATTCCATACTATACACAGCTTTAAAGTTTAAATATTCTTAGTATTCTATTGCCATAACTTTTTCCATTTGATCACAGCTTTAGTAAATAAAAATATAGATATGCACAGGTATTTCATTCTGGTCTGTCATACTATATGTGTGTTTATAACTAATACAAAGTGTAAAAAGAAAACAAGTATTTTAAATGTACATAGCATAGTTAAATAATTTCAATAAATTTGCTGTTTGTTCCTTATAAACTCTTTTAAAAAAAAAAAGAAAAAAGTTTTATAAATACATTTATGCTTCCAGTGAAACTATAAGGGGGACAGTTGCCAAAGATAATCCTACCAAAAAATAGAATAATCTAAATATTCAAACCTATCTAAACAAAATGTAAGTAAACAACTTCATACTGATAATAAAGCACAATAATGAATGGATGAAAAAAAAATCATCTACTCTTTTAGTTTTGCTATAGAATCCTGTGTGTAAAAGTTAGTTAAAATTCAAAAGGAGGACACAATGTGTGAAACAGCCCAAGGATTCCAGGCATTCTAAAACCAGGTTGCAGTAGCTATCAGTAAAGTCATTCAATTATTGTGTATTTGGAAGTGTGTTTATGGATTTCACAGTTTGTTATGAATATTTGATAATGTGCAGGTAGTTGCTTACTTCCCTTACAAGGCATCTGTTCACACAGAGTTGACTGAAATATGTCTGCATTGTCCAACAACACTACTCTTATTTAAAAAAAAATTCATGGCTGTATATGAAGATAGGACTTTTTCTTTGGATTACCAAATAACTTTTTTCTTTGGATTCTCAATAAGCATTTGTATAGAAAACCTTTTCTTGTTCTCATTTTACAATTTTCAAAGTTCAAGTAATTGCCCTTCAGGAGGAATCAACTATTACCTCTCTGTCATTTGACTACCAAGGTTAAATCAGTATTAACGCCCAGAGTGTTATTTTAAGCACTATA